GGAAAAAAATAATTCCAAGTCTAATTGTGCAGCAGTACATTTTCTGCAGTCAGTGGACCTCAGTGGCATAATAACGAGTGCCATGATGATGCCAACAGAAGATTACACTGGCTGCTCTGTTTCTTGGTTGTTTCAAGATCAGGGTGAGGGTAAGGCTAGATTATCACATAAGAAACACATGTATGGTTCACTTTGCCACTCCAAGTGACAATGCCAGGTCTAGAGTGGCAGATAGAGATAGATCCCTGGGTATGTCCTGGAGTGAATGGGCTTTACTTTTTTTTTTTTTAAATCTTCACCCAAGGATACTTTTTTCCATTTATTGTCAGATAGAGTGGGAGAAAGGGAGGGAGGAAGGAGAGGGGTGGGGAGAGAGAGAGAGGGAGAGAGAAACATCAACGTGAGAGAGACACATCCACTGGTTGCCTCCCACAAGACCCAGACCAGGGCCAGAGGCCGAAATGCAACTGAGGTACATGCCCTTGATCAGAATCAAACCAGCAACTCCTTGGTCCTTGGGCCAACCCTCTAACCGCTAAGCCAAACCAGCCAGGGCAATGGGCTTTACTTTTAAGGAAAAAATTTGTCAATCAAATATAGGACAAGGAGATTTAATGATAAATTATAATCTGAATGTTATAGGATAAGTGAGCCAAACCTTCATACTAAGGATTGAGAATTTTAAAGCAAATGCTGTTTTACCAGATTTTGCCCCAACATGAAGACAGGAAGCAGAGGTGATCTTGCCTACCTAGCTATCAGATCAATGGAGAAAGACAAGCAAACAAGGTTGATAGAAACACTGGAGGGTCTAATCTCTGGGTGCTCTAAGTAACCCAACATGCACAAGTGTCTCAACTCCATTCATCTCCCTCTTCTCTAGCAATTACTGAGATTGGCTACTCGGCCACACCACTGCCATTCATTTGCTGGTTAATCAAGCAAGAAAATAGAAAGTTAAAAAGTTGCCTTCTCATCATTGCAGTTGAAAATAGTTTTTAAATGGCAATATGTTATAATGAAAAATACACTGTGGCTGAGCGGTTGAGCATCGAGCCATGCACCAAGAGGTCGCCGGTTCAATTCCCGGTCAGAGCGCATGCCCAGGTTGTGAGCCCGATCCCCAGTGTGGGGCATGCAGGAGGTGGGCAATCGATGTTCTCTCTCATCGATATTTCTGTCTCTCTCTCCCTTTCCCTTCCTCTCTCTCTCTCAAATCAATAAAGGAAAAAAAAATAGAAAAAAAAATACACTGAAAGGCAACTCAAAGAAACAAAAGCGCAGGGCTTGGAGGAAGGAAGCATGCATTTTGTGCATAAAGCTGTTTGTCTTGTGTGATGTCAGAAAAGGAAACTGTATTTAGACAGAGATAACAAGGCCTGGGGAAGAGTCACAAAAGTGATATATTTGACAAAATGTAAAAAAAATACATTTAGAGTTTCCTCCCTTTTTACAATAACTGAATTAGTCCCTCAGAGCAACTTCTGCTGGTAAGACGATTTTGTTTTTCTGGGATAAGGCAACCTAAATTTACCTGTTACAGTATCAAAAGCAAACTGGCAGAAAAGGAAGGAACTGCTCAATTTAATTGTTTAATGCTAAATGTTTTAATGTCTATGATGACTAAAACATCCCAACACTCTAGCTTTCAGTTTTTGTTGTTGTTGTTAATCCTCATCTGAGGATATTTTTTCATTGATTTTTCTTTTTTCAGATAGAGTGGAAGGGAGAGAGGGAGAGAGACATCCATCCATGTGAGAGAGACACATGAAATGGTTGCCTCACACAGGACCAGACCAGGGCCAGGGATGAACCTACAACCCAGGAATATGCCTTGACCAGGTATCGAACCCTTTGGTCTGATGACTGATGCTCTAACTGCTGTGCCAAACTGACCAGGGCTCTTTCAGGATTTTTGTTTGTTTAGAAATTTGGTTAAAAATTTTTTTTTTTTAGCAAGATGGGGAGAGGAAGGAAGAGAAAGAGAGAAACATTGATGTGAGAGAGACATTTCACATCCCACACAACCCCAACCAGGGCTGGGGACAAACTGCAACAGGGGTACATGTCCTTAGCAGGAACCGAACCCAGGTCTCTCTGGACTGCAGGCCAACGTTCTAACTGCTGAGCCAAACCAGCCAGCGCATGGTTTGAATTTTAATAAAAGTTAAATATATATTTCTCAGCTGAATTTAAAGAAGGGGCATGTATTCTATTTTACTCATTTCATCTGGCATTCTGACTTTATAAATTGTTACAAACAAGATTAGCAATTAAGTTTGGAACTAGAGAATACATAGAGAAATTAGAAGAAAAATCACAATCTCTAAAAGTAGAAAGAAAAATAAGATGATGTAGCTCAATTTGTCAAACTGATTAAGACTGTTAGACACTGTTCAGTGAAAAACAAAACCAAACCTCACTGAAATATTAAGAGAACTGGTATGCAAAGCGCAAGCCTTTAAAAAATACTTTACACAGCCTAATTTTTAAAATATCACTTCAAGTATAAAAACGCTGCTGTTGAGAACAGGGAATACACTTTTTCTGAGTGATTAAGAAAACCAGAAATTATAAGGGAGAATATAATGGCTTATTTGTAGAATAATATTCTCATAAGTGAAGCTGTCTGCCAGTAAAATGGGCCACCTTTAGGAGAAAATTGAGTGTAAGTACTGAAATGGAGGCTGAATCATTTCTGGAAGGAATTCCTGAGTGAAAAATTATACTGGATGATCTTAATAGTCTTCTTCCCACAGTTAAACTTTTGTGATGTTAAAAATTAGGTTCCTGGATATTTTCAATGTGCTCTAAATAGAACAGTAAATAGAGAAAAAGAATTAAAAAATAATAGAACAATAAAGTAAAACCAGGCTTCACTGCTTTCACATTTTAATAAATGAATAAAAATTCATATGACTTCTTGGGGGGAAACATTCTTTAATGTATAGTGAAAGCTTCTAATTGGCATTAAATCATTAGCCTAAGTGGTATTTGCTTTTACATGACAGGTAAATTATTTTATGTGCAAAAAAATGAGTAAAAATGTATAAAAAATAAAAATGCTTCTTCTCTAATGCATGGCAAGCAATAATAAAACCCACTCAAAAACTCTCAGCCACCAGAGTAGGGGAAGGATGCAATTTAACATCATGACCTTCAGAAAGCAGTAGACAAAGGACACACTTTGATATGGCATCAAGTTGGTCTCCCCCTTGGATCTATACTCCAGAAATGGAATGGGTAAGACCACAGCATTCGTGGAATTGCCACCAATATCTCCAAGATAGCAGTATAGTGAAATAAAGTACTTATCTTTTGACTCTTCTAAACAATTGAATTGACTACTGGAGAGTTACAGGCCAAATGGATGATGTGAACAAATGGGCTGAATGTATATGGGAAAAGCTATCAAAGATGTCCCGGTGGAACAGGATAGAAACTGACTTGGTGGAGGAAATCCTAGGGTAAGACATGTAACAACATGTTAGAGACAGCACAGATCAGGTCTGCTAACCATGGATCCACACAGCCGGAACGGAGCTCACCTCCCTTCCTTCACATTCAGTCTACATAAAGATAGAATCCCAAGTGGAGCCTCACATTAGTTTTATAGGAAAAAAATAATTAGCTCAGATGAGGTGAAAGGGGTACAGTAATTCACCCACTATTAGAGAAAACAAAAGGTCTGGCTGGAACTTCACAGGGTAAAAAAGCAATGATCTGGCAACTATGCAACTACATTTAAAGGAGAAAGAGAAATGGAGAGAGGATATGGGGAGGAAGGAGACAGGAATGGGAGGTATTTAGGGGGCAAAAGGGGGTGGAAATCATATTTAGAGAAAGATGAACCCAAGAACTAACAAATTAGTAGTGGGGAGGGAAACTAAAATATATGCATTCAAATTTCTTTATCTTTCAGAGTTGGAAACCAATTGGTAGTATCTAAAAGAAAAACATGTAATAAAAAATGACTCCAACATTTTAATATTAATATAATTTTTTAATTTTTAGAAAATAACTTTTTTTTTTTTAATCCTTACCAGAGAATCTTTTTTCATTTATCTTCAGATAGAGCGTCAGGGAGAGAGGAAGAGTGGGAGGGAGGGGGAGAGGGAGAGGGAGACACAACGAATAGTTGCCTCCCGCACAATCCCGACCAGGGCTGCGGTATGAACCACGACTGAGGTATAAGCCTTTGGCTGGAATGAAGCTCCAACTCTTTGATTTGAGGGCCAATGCTCTAATGGCTGAGCCAAATGGCCAGGGCAAAAATAACTCTTACAGTAAAGAAATATTTGTGTGACCTTTAGAAATTAAGTTGCATTTCTTTTTCTGGTGTAACATTAAAACAAAATTAAAGGGTAAAGGGAATCAACTATATGGTGATGGAAGATGATTTGACTGAGTGGTGGGCATACAAAGCAATATACAGGGTCCCTCATGTACCATAGAAATGTACACTTGAAACCTATGTGATCTTATTAACCAGTGTCACCCCAATAAATTCAATTTAAAAATTAAATTAAATACTTTTTTCCCTAAAAGCATCTTTTTAAAATCAGTCTACCTACTGCTACCTATATACATACATATGCATATACATATATATGAAATAAAATTTGCTTGAACTATTTAACCACACTCTGTTAGATGTACTAATATTTCTACTGTCTTCTTCTTTTCTCTTCTTTCTTTTAAAAAGGTTGTGAATAGGTTATAACCTACAGTTTGAAAAACACTGCACTGTCTTTTGCTGCCTGTATTCACATTCTTTTTCTTTAAAAGTGTAACATTTCCTAAGTCTTGATTTGCTTTTAAATGAGCATAACATGAATATAGTCTTCCTTTTTTTAAACTTTCATTGTAAAGAAATCAAAGTTATCTTAGCACCAGGAAAAGACATAATGGCATTTCAATAACAAAAAGAAATGAGTGCATCTGAGTGCAGGAGTCTTTAAAATACTGTGGGGTGGTGATGGATGATGGAATCTTCTTACCTCGGAGTCACAGTAGAGGGGAGGGGAGTTGACGGAACAGCACTTGGAGGCGAAGTCGGAGCGCTTGTCCACCAGCTCCTCCAGCTCCGATTCCGGGGCGTCCGGCAGTGCCGCTCTCAGGCGCTCTGCCAGTCTGAAAGACGATTTTAAAGAAGTTTTATTATTTTATTTTTTATCTTTATTGTTGTAAGTATTATAGACACCCTCCCCCCATTGACACCCTCCCCCTGCTCCCATCCCCTCACCTCACTTCTCTGTGTCCATGGGTTATGCACATATGCATACACTGTCTTTGGTTTCTCTCCTGCCCCCCTCATCCCCCCTCCCTCCCTCAGGTTTGTCAGTCTGATCCCTACTTCAATGGCTCTGGATCTGTTTTGTTTGTCCGCTTATTTTGTTCATTATATTCCACAAATAAGTGAGATCATGTGGTATTTGTCTTTCTCTGATTGGCTTATTTTATTTATCATAATGCTCTCCAGGTCCCTCCATGTCATCTCAAAGGGTAAGAGATTTTCTTCCTACAGCTGCATAGTACTCCATTGTGTACATGTACCACAGCTTTTTTATCCACTCATCTACAGATGGACACTTGGGCTATTTTCTAAGACCATTTTTTGGTAAGGTTTTACTAGATGTATTCTATAAACATTTCTAGTGGAAAACATAGCCATTTCACATCTGATACAATAAACAATGAAAATAGAAATGCTTGCCCTTCTCAAGAAAATTATATATTTATCTGGGGAACTATTTTTAGTGACTTGATTTGAGGTTAGAATGTGAAATCTGCATCTCTTTTAAGATCATGAAAGTAAACACACAAATTGCTGCTGAATTTGAATTCCAGCCTTTCCCCTTTCATCTGCTTAATTATACCAACTTGGATAACTTCCTCCTCTAGTTTCTTTAACCTTTTATCATCTCTCTAGTTCTAAGTTTCAAGCGCCTTAAAGGATATTTCCCTATTAGAAATTCATGCCACTGCAATGCTTTTTTCCTCTCAGATTTTGTACAATTTTCCTCTGTTTGCCTACTCAACTCTGCTGGGAAATGCTGAAACAAGGTCAGAGACCTTTGGCTCTTGTTTTTAACTCCACTATTAACCAGCTCTCCATCTCATTGTCAAGGTGGTGCTAGGACTTGACTTCTCTCGATTCTTTCCCAGTTTGAACTGTCTTCGGTCTTGGTGACTCTCTACCCTCATGGTGGACAGCTCAGCCTGGTTTTATGACTTTCTCTAAAAATACTTGCCAGCCCAGTAATAGACAGTGGGAAATGGAAGAGACCCAAATTTATCTAGAGTTGGGGCTGGCAAGGTGGATGCTGGGAAGGGATAAGTGCGTCAGGGGGACTAGTTTGCTCCTAAAAGTATTATTGAAACGAGTCGGTTCCAGCTGGAAGGAGAGGCAAGTGAGACCAGAAGGCACGCAGAGGATGGGAGAGAAAAGCAGGGGGTGGGGTTTCAAATAATCAGACTGAACAGCCTCATTCTTCTCTAATTTTATAACCTTAAATGACAATTCTACTACTTGTTCATCTGCAATACAGATTATATAAATTATCAGTCAATTTCCCTAGGCAAACCTAGAGTTCAAAACTATTGAAAAAGGACTTAATCTTTCATTGTGTGTTTAACGTTGTTCTATGCTACCTTCATCCTATTCTATTAATTGTATAATTTTCTGGCAACTGTTAAACAATTTTGAACCTAAGGCTTTCACGGTTTTTCATTTTCTTTTACAACTTTGCTCAGGTTGATTCCATGGGGTCATTGAAGGAGGTGTCCAACTTTGGGAATTCTTTAGGAAGGTCTTTTGGTGGAGGTTTATTTGTGCTTACTTGAGGCCTGTGTTGTTCAAGATTATTTGAAATAGATCTAAGAAATCTACTTAATGAAACTGAGAATAACATGGTCTTCTCAACAGAGACATTTTACAGGAACCCAGTGAAGAGACTTTCATTATTATGGCTCCTTATTTTAACGTTAACACCCATTTGTAAAAATATGCCATCTCTTAATCGAGAAAAAGGACTATTGTACAGCATTATGGATGATCAGTTAACATTTGTATTTATAATTTATAGAACTTGCATATTTAATTGAAAGTTTATGTCCTCTTGTCAGCCAATATGCTCTTAAATTGTATAACATTTTCCAGCCATTTTATAGTTTCTTAATTACACATAGCAACATCTACCAATTAATTTAGGGCAAAAACATTGGTAAACTACAGACTAATTTTGTTTTCTTAATCAAGTCACTACAGATCTTGTAATTTATATATTTTTGGGCTGTGTTCTAACCTGATATACATAACTTTCTCCTCCCAGAAAATAACTGTTTCTTACGCAGATAATAGATTCTACTTTTTAAAACTCTTTTAATTGAACCTCCTCTTTTTACTGCTCATGTAGCCCATCTTGTCTTCAACTGTGCTTTCAAAGCACAATGGCAAGCGAATACTGACAACTTTGGAGGACAGAGCTGGAACTGGTCCCTTACTTTTTCTTGTACTCAGTAAATGTGTTTTCTGAATAATCTGCACATAGTTCATGTCCCTTGTCGATGAACGAAGAGAGCTCCTTCTTCAGTTGAGGGACCTGTAAGAAAATAATAATCACATACAACTATTTATCTTGACACTATTCTGGGAGGCGTTGTTGATGAAGCAACCTAGCGAATTGTACCTTCGCATGAAAACAGGCAGTAGGATCTTCAGAATCACAGCATTCTTTAAGGCTTTTCAGGGTTGGATCAAGTATTTTACTGAGAAATACTTCTGGAACATGGGTCCTCCTACTTAGTTCAAATATATACCTGGCATGAGAGGAAAAGAAGATAAGGTTCTTTAACATCCAGGGGTGCACTTGTGGATATGTGTCACGTTTTGAAATTTGATGTCTATAACAAAGGCAGAGCACCTGATTTCTGTATCTTAATTAAAAATAAAAGATTTTAGCTAAAACTGAATCCAGATGGAGAGGTTTAGGATTAAAAACAATATTCTCATTGAAATAGAAGTTATTAATGGATGATTTGAAATTATTGTGACTAGTTAATACTGAATTATATATAGATATGTACTTCTAATGCATACGTCCTTTGTGTAGCTATAACACAATTCTATATAAAGCATCAAGTAGGTACTTTATTTATTTATTTATTTACTTTTATCTCACTCGAGGACATTTTTTCATTTTTTGTTCGGGTAGAGTGGGAGGGAGAGAGAGGAACAGAGAGAGAGAGAGAGAGAGAGAGAGAGAGAGAGAGAGAGAGAGAGAGAAACATCGATGTGAAAGGGCCACATTGAGTGGCTGCCACCCGCACGACCAACCAGGGCCAGGGACAAACCACAACCGAGGTACGCGCCCTGAGCGGGAACCAAACCCGGGTCTCTCAGGACCGCAGTCTGATGCTCTAACCGCTGGGCCAAACCAGCCAGGGCTCAAGTAGGTACTTTAAATGGCTCTTCTGTGGAAATAGATTTGCATACATTTTTTGATTATCTTATCCTATTGTTATCTATGTATTTATAAAAACAGTGAGCATTTAGACAAATATGGTTTCAGAGCCGTCTAAATTCTGCTCTCTGATGTTGATAAATGATTTCCTAACCTGTAAATTCACCCTACTTGTGAAATTAATTTATGCCATGAATATGCATATAGTCGTCCCTCGCCAGTTCACGCTTCGACTTTCGCTATGCTATATTTGAAAAAAACCACGATAGAGTGAAGCCGTGAAAGTCAAAGCGCGAATTGGGAGGGACCACAGTGTATAAATAAAGAATCCTACTGCTCGGCAAATTAGTTATCGCAGTAGAGTCTGGAACTGATTAACCGCGATAAACAAGGGCCGACTGTATACTATTCATAGTGTATGCAATTCATGGTGTCTTTGTCTTAATTCTTTTCTTAGTGAAGCCAGGTAAGAGTTTACCATTTCTTCCCCATCTAGCTTCTTTGTCACTTCATGCTAGTGAATATCAGTACTGTCAAGAAACTAATCAGATCAGCTCTACTTACCTGTCCGTGGCTTTGGTGTTTCCTTTGCCACACACATCTTTACTTGTGGGCAGCTCAACTTCTGGCAGCCCTGGTGACTGAGCAGCTGGTGTGAAGTAAGCACACATAAAAATGTCCATGGGGGTTTTTTCTTGACAACAATCCTTAAACTTATCATTCTTTGTGGATAAGTTGTCACAGATTTTTACTGTGTGTTCAGGCAGCTACAAAAGCAATTGTGATTTTATGCATCGTTAGTTTTCTTGTAGGTCCACTTGAAAATAAGGAAGGTTTATATAGGCTTACTAGCCCTGGCATGGTGTATAAAAAAGTCAGTGGGAATGCTCCTAGAAAGTAAATTGGTATAAATTTTATACTGTCATTATGTACTAAAAGCCTTAAAATGTATACAATTTGACTTCTAATAATTTCTCCATATGAAGAGAAGATTTAGCTATAAGTCTCTTAAGGACAGCATTACTTAAAATACAAAAACTGAAACACCTAAAATCAATAATAGGGACTGGTTAAATAAAATAAGGTATATCTAGGAGATCAATGTAATTTAGATAGATAGATAGATAGATATAGATAGAGACATACTAGCCATTACAAGTCAGGTATAGAAAAACACCTATTAACACAGACATGTATTCTTAATGGAAAGAGACCAGGCAGCACAATATTATTGTTCCTAAAGAGGGCAACAGACATGGAGAGTGACATTTCTCTAAAGCAACTGTTCAAATTTGTACCTACTTGAAAGTATTGTGTAAATAAAAATGGTGGAAAAACTGAAAAGACCATCAAATTATGACAGGTATAATAAGGTCAATTATGATTTCTAATAGTATAATGGTTACAGATTGTGTAACTTTGTGGTGATGAAAATTATCTGTATCTGTACTGTCTAACACTAATGAGCATTTGAAATGGGGCTAGTGTAACTGAAGAACTGAAGTTTAGATTTTATTAGTTTAATTATAAACTTAAATTACCATGTATAGCCAGTGGATACTGTACTGGGCTCTGCAGGTGCACTAAATTCTTGGGAATCAGATAATCTTGTCTTTATGTGTGAACTTTGCTACTTACTAGTTGTGTGACTTTAAATATTGATGCTTGATAATATTCAGTTTCCTCATCTTTAAAGTAGAATTAAGGTATTTGTTTCATAGGGTACGTGTGAGGATCATTGAGATGATGCATGTAAAAAGCAGCTTAGATGAGTGCTTGCCACTTAGTGTGTGGCACAAGATGGTGACAGTGATGGTGATGATGATGATGGTGATGGTCATGATGCTGATGGTGGGGATTCCCTTACCTCCTTGGCCATGCAGTCTTCAGAGGTAGACTCACAGCACTTGGAGAGGATGGCAGTAACATCCTCAGCTAGTGGCAAAACATTCTCCAGATCAGCCGTAGGTGCTTTTTGGGCTAATTTTATTAGATGACTAAACAGTTAAAAAAGAATTTGTTATCTTACTCCAAATCACAGTTTCTTTGGTTTCATTATGAACACACACACTAGAGAAATAATATAGTTTCAACTCTTTTTCTGCAACAGCTGCATGGAGCACATCTGCTCTGCAAGGGATCCTATGTGTTGAAGCTACTACTCAACAGTCATTCCCAATGAGTCCTTCTAAATTTTCAGTATTGACATGCAGTTTCTCTTTTGACCAGATCTACATAGTTGAAGGATGCCTTTAAAATGGCAATAAAGCCCTGGTGGGGTGTCTCAGTTGGTTGGAACGGCTTCCTATATACCAAAAGTTTGTGGGTTCAATCCCAGTTGATTCGGGTGCATATGGGAAGCAATCAACTGATGTTCTCTTTCACATTGATGTTTCTCTCTCTTCCTTCCTCTGTCTCTAAAATCAATGAAAACATATCATATCCTTGGGTGAGGATTAAAAAAACCCCCAATAAAATGGCAATAAAAAAAGCACTAACTTCTCTTTATTCATAAGGCCAATGTGGTGTTTTGGGAGCCTCGAACAGTCTTCTTAAATGTTTTTATTAATTCACTGATAAACTACAGTACAAATAAAGTAAGTAATGAAGATCTTTAGCCCTAAACCAAAGAGTTAATACATGTTGATGTTTTGGCGTGAAACCCTTAAGTATTTTATAAGGTTTGCAGGATATTAAGTATTTTCTGAGGGACTATGCTATACTATTGATAAATTTATCCTTTCACTCAATGTATCAGGAATATGTTTTATATCATTAAACATTTTTTTTTCTTTATCGATTTTTAGAAAGAGAGGAAGGGAGAGGGAGAGCTAGAAAAATCGATGAGAGAGAACATTGATTGGCCGCCTCCTGCATGTCCTTCACTGGGGATCGGGCCCACAACCTGGGCATGTGCCCTCACCAGAAATTGAACCGGTGACCTCTTGGTGCATAGGTCAATGCTCAAGTACTGAGCCACACCAGCCTGGCTAAATAAACATTCTTTATGTGGTAAAGAGCACATGCCACTGAGTTTACCATCTTAATCGTTTTTAAGTGTACAGTTCAGTAATGTTAAGTAAGTTCACATTGTTATAACTTTTTGTGTCTTGTAAAACTGAAACTCTATATCCATTCAATACTGATTCCAGACCCCTTCCTTGGCAACCATGTTTTTACTTTCTGTTTTTATGATTTTGACTAATTTAGGTACTCCATATGACTAGAATCATATAGTATTTGTCCTTTTGTGACTGCTTATTTTGCTTCCCATAATGTCCTCAAGGTTTATCCATATTGTAGCATGTAACAGGATTTTTAAGGCAGCATAATATTCCACTATATGTATATACCACATTCTTTATCCATTCACCTGTCAATGGACAGGGGGTTGCTTTCATCTCTTGGCAGTGTGAATAATGCTGCAATGACTATGGATGTGCAATATCTCTTAAGAGTCTGCTTAGAATTGCTAGGAATATATACAGGGTGGGGAAAAAGTAGGTATATAGTTGTGAGTACACAAAACAGTTTATTCTGTATTATTATTTTTTAATTATTGTATTATTTTCCATATAAACAGCTGTAAACCTATTTTTGCCCCATCCTGTATGCAGAATTGGGATGCTGGATCATATGGTATTTCTATTAATTTTTTGAGAAAACTGTACTGTTTTCCATAATGATTATACCATTTTGCATTTCTACCAACAGTGCACAAGCATTTAAATGTCTCCACATTCTCAGAGACACTTGCTATTTTCTGTTCTTTTGGTAGTGACGATCCTAATGAGTATGAAGTGGCATTGTGACTTTGCTTTGTGTTCCTCCTATGATTAGTGATGTTGAGCATCTTACCATATGTTAGTTGGCCATTTTTTATATTTCCTTTGGAGAATTCTCTATTTGATTTTTTAAAATCAGGTTATTTGGTGTTTTTGTTGCTGAGTTGTAGCAGTTTCTTATGCATGCTGAATATTAAACCCTTATTAAATATATGATATGCAAATATTTTCTCCCATTCCATAGATTGCCTTTTTACTATGCTGATTGTTCTCATTAGTGCTAAGAAGTTTAAGTTTGATGTAATCTCATTGGTTTGTTATTGCTTTTGTTGTCTTTGCTTTGGAGTTAATTCCAAGAAATCATTGTCTAATCCAATGTCCTGAAGATTCCCCCTATGCTTTCTTCTAGGAGTTTTATAGTTTAGGGTCTTATGTTTAGGTTTTTAATCCATTTTAAATTGAGTTTAATATATGGTATAAGGTAAGGGTTCAACTTCATTTTTTGCAAGTAATATACCCAATTTTCCCAGCACTCTTTGAAGAGACTGTCCTTTTTTCATGTGTAGTCTTGATTCCCTTGTCAAAAATCATTTGTCTAAATATATAAAGGTTTGTTTCTGAGCTCTCCATTCTGTTCCATTGGTTTATATATCTTTTTATACTAGTACCACTGCATCTTGATTATTGTTTCTTTGTAGTATGTTTTGAAATCAGTATTAGGCCTCCAACTTTGTTTTACATTTTCAAGATTGTTTTGGCTATATTGAGTCCCTTGAGATTCCATTTTAATTTAGGATGTCTTTTTTTTTTTTTTTTTTTCTATTTCTGCCCGCTAAGAAAGTGCAGTTGGGATATTGATAGGAATTGTACTGAATCTGCAGATTGCTTTGGATAGTATAAACATTTTTAACAATATTAATTCTTCAAATCTCTGATCATGGAATGTCTTCCTATTTATTTTGTTTCTTCAATTTCTTTTAGTAACAAGTTATAATTTTCATCAATCCTTTCACATTATAACTACAACAACTGTTTGGCCTTCTCTTAGATGGATATATCATAACTGATTTAAGTATGCTCCCTAGTCTAGGGACGTTTAGAAAGTCTCTGTTTTTTTTTTTTTTTTTTTTTTTTCGCATAAAAGAAAAAGGGATAGCAATATTTGTAGCTAAATCTTTGTTCACATTCAATACTATTGTCTTCGGGTAATTTTCTAGACTTTAATGCAAGTATAAATTAATGATTCCGATAGATATATCTTATAGGTGCTTTTATATTATAAATTCCTATGATCTATTTGCCAATTACACTATTTTAATGCAAAGGAAAACTAAATTGAAGGTCTAGAGAAAATGCCATTTAGTATTTGAGTAGTCCTAATGGAAAATTATTTTTAAAGGACTAATGAAAGTAGTTTTTATTCCCACTGGGGAAGCTTAGAGTTTCAGGCCAACACAGAATAAAGTATTTTATTCCCAATGATGGAAAAACGTTTGTGGATTAGAGTAGAAGGAATAAAAGAGACTGTAAATGCTGCAAAGATAAGATAAAGATGGCAAATCTAGATGTTTGAGCAGATATGAGAGAAGCACAAACATAGAAAATGTCAAAATTAAAATATGGAGTTAATAGCAACTATACAAAAATCAAAGTGAAAGTTAAAAATAAAGTAGCTAAGTAATTAGCATAAATTCACAAAGCTTAAGAGATAACTTATTATATAGCACAAAGCTTCATATAACAAGTAAGAATCTAAGACATCTTATCCTAAGACAAAAATGGGCAAAGCAAAGAGTAGATGATAAAGAAAACTGTTTGTTTTTGCTTTTGTATTTGTGAGATATGCTAATATGAATGGTGAGGAAATAATTTCTAGTGGTCTCCCAGTTTTCCCTTATGAGTATATAAAAAATATTGATTAAGAACAAATCTTTTATTTCACAACATAACCTTGTTTCTTTTTAAAATGTTTTTAATCCTCACCCAAGGATATTTTTCCATTTATCTTCAGGTAGAATGGGGAGGAGGGGAGAGAGAGAGAGAGAGAGAAACATCGATGCGAGAGAGAGACATTGATTGGTTGCCTTCCGCATGACCCCAACCAGGGCAGGGATCTGAACCACAACCAAGGTACGTCCCCTTGACTGGAATTGAACCCAAACTCTTTGGTCTGAGGGCCGATGCTCAAACTGCTGAGCCAAACAGGTCAGGGCTATAACCTTGTTTCTTGTTCATATTCTGTGTAGAAAAAGGAACTGGGCATACTTTTGAGGATTATTGGATTGTAAGGCTAGAGTTTGTATCTCCTAACACAAACACTCTTAGAAAATCCTAATATTGTGGATAGATAGTGCAGAATTGAACAGCTAAACATACTGATGCTTAATATTTACCTGACCCTTGATTTCTCTTTCCCATAAGCGGCGTATTGTGAACAGATTCTATTTGACATAGTGGTGAGAAGCGATAAATGTTTAATCTGGAGTCTCTAGAAAATAAATGAGAGAATCTCATTAGGTGGTTAAGAGCCATTGAAAATAGTGTACAGGAGTGAAAAAAAGAGACTATGAATATCATGATCCTTTTTAAAAAAATTTATATTTTATGACTACAAAACTGAATTCTGACCAAAGAAACTTACTGATATTTCTTTCCCAGAGGTGATGGCATGTTTGTTTTTCCAATTAACAAAATGCAAAAGAGAACTGTTAGAAACTTTTACTGATTCCAGAATCGGAACTTCTACCATTTTATTTTATTTATATATTTTAATTTTTTTTCTTTATTGATTATAGAGAGAGAGAGTAAGGGACAGGGAGAGAGAGAGATTGAAACATGAATGAGAGAGAACATCGACTGGCCACCTCCTACATGCCCTGCACTGGGGATTTGGCTCACAACCTGGGCATGTGCCCTAATGAGGAATCAAACAGGAGACTTTCTAGTGCATGGGTTGATGCTTGACCACTGAGCCACACTGACCAGGCACTTCTACCACTTTATAAAAGAAACATCACTAATAGAGGAATAAAAAAGAACATAACTATGTAATAAATGACACCTACCTCTTTCAAGAAGCACACAGTGGGGCTTGATGAGGTACAGCAGGACCCTACCATGGAGAGATAACTCTTGGTATAACTGACTAAAAGTGGCAGAGGAGCTTGTCCATAATTAGTGGTATATTCATACATAAATCTGTGGGGGGAAGAGAACATTGGTCAAAACATTTGTGGGAAACAAACTCTTTTTTTCATAAGTATTTTCATGGAGAGGAGACATATGTTAAGTTATAGTTTTAATATCTAAAAAGCACTAAGAATTTATAGAACGGGTTATAATACCAGTCACTTTCAATCAATAGTTTCATTAAACAAAAATAGGTTCTTTCCTAAATTTCCATGTGGATTGCTTGTTCGTTTATTCAGTGTCTACAGGTGCATGGCCCATAATAGATGCTTATTAAAGTTAATTGGATGAATTAAAACAAAGGTAATTATGGATTTACCTTTCATTATGTATCTCTGTTTTCTATTCTAGACAACTGCCCTGTGTAGGTTTACATATTTATTGAAATCTTTTTTAACTTTTAGGAGCATAAGCCCCTGTGGACCTAAAAGTGACTCTGAAATCTTGGGCAAAATCCTCTCTGAAAATTTACAGGGATGGACAAGCCAACCAATTTTTATAAAATTGTGATCTTAATTTCATACTTTTAAAGCATATTTGAATGCCATTGCTTTTGAATTTATATACACACACATATATATTTTTTTTCTATTATAATCGATTTTCCACATTTTTGTTCATTTTTATGATTTTCCAATACTAATGTAAAGAACCTCTATATAATATGGCTTCTAATGAATGTCAAACAATGAGAGAGTGAAAGTAATATGTTCACTTATGTAGTGCAACATGCATCCTATTCACAACTGTTTCTTGGAATGTGAAAAAAAAAGCTGTTAATTTCTTCGAAAGCATAAGAAATAAAGTATTAAGAAAATGCATAGCAATGAAAGTATATCAGATGGCGTATGCAAAGGTCACTAGCTTTTGGGGAAATACTATCGCTGCTGTAAATATTTGGAAATCTGTCATGAAGACTGTGGATGCAAGTAATCCTGCTGCGAGTACTAGATAGGACCAACTGGGTGGGAGTTGAGGAAAGCTGATTTTTATTTTTGTCTGAGAAGAGCATTTACAATAGTTGACAGTGACAGAGATGGACTGTCTTGGATGAAAGTCAAGTTCTTGTTGTCCAGGTTGCTGTAGAAGAGATGTTTGTATAGAGTAGAGTTAGATGAGATACATTTCTGATATTTTATGCCTTGAAGTTCTACTTCTGATGAAAGCAACTTACTGGTTAGCAAATTCCTTGGGATCTTTCCTGAAGGCTTCACAGATTTCATCGTTACTTGGCTCTACGTAGGTAGGAAATTCTTGGGGCTGGTGCTTCAGGGTGGCCATACAGAGTTTCCTTTCCAGGCCCTCATGGGTACAGCACTCGGCAGTGCCTGGGTGTGCTGGGAACGGAGAGTCGCTTTCACAGGACTTACTCGACAGTGCTGACGTCTAGAAAGAGAGAAGGAAAACAAGCAGACTCATATCCAGGCTTGCTCCATTCAGTGTAACATCTTTAGCCTTCAATTTAAAAAGTCTCATTAATAACAAGCTGTCCATGCCAAAGGCTCCACGAGATGATTTGTCAACATGGCAAGTTGCATAATCATAGTTACAAGCAAGTACAGGGTCTTATTTATATTAGTAAATGACTTTCTTCAGAGTAGGAGAAAAATCGAACCTTCATTAATAAATGGACTGTGTTTTATTGCAGCCACTAAAAGCTTTATCCTCCAGTCCCGTGTTTCTTCACAGGGATATTAACATCTCTGAGGATAAGGGAGGTCATTTCAAATAGTTCTCGTATGATCTCCTACCTGATTTCTTGCTGCAAATACCCCATAGAGAATGCAGACCTCCCCCTGCCCTTCTCCCCTCCCTTTATTACAAAAGCAAACTCTTCATTGTTAACTGCATTAGTCTTCTACATTGATTTGCATTCTCTTACTCAGCTCGCTTTTGCATTGAAATCTCTCATGAAATATATAAAAATAAGAAATGCCTGGGCTGCACAACACAGAAATTTTGAACCAGTAGGTCAAAGATCAAACCTTAGGATCTGTTTTTTGCCCTGAGGCTTATTCTCTTGTGTAGCATGGGTTGAAAACCACTGGTACAACGTCATCTACTGCCTCAACACTGATACACTTACAGTCGGGCAGACTGGTACAACGTCATCTACTGCTTCAACACTGATACACTTACAGCCGGGCAGACTGGTACAACGTCATCTACTGCCTCAACACTGATACACTTACAGTCGGGCAGACTAAGCCCATGGTAAGAGGACCACCAAAGCAATTGTAGCCACAAAATGTTCTTTTTGGAGAGAATTAGGAATGAAAATGTAGAGCAGAAATAGTCATCATGGAAAAAATTATTTTGGGATTTACATGGGAAAAAGTACTTTGAAATTCTTACACTTATTTTACCTATTAGTCATCTTTTCAAGGGAAAACTTCAAAGGATGTTTCCTATCAGTGAAGGAAAACAATATGATGAATGAATTATATAAAAGTAAACATCTCCCATCCTCTCCCATATTGAACTTCTATTGGACTCTCAGAACTTAGGAAATCTTAGGAGCTCTCTTTTATCCTCTGTCTCTTTTCAGTGACTCTCTTCTTCTATTCCATTTCTCCCTCCGTCAACTTGCCTGTTGTTTTTTTTTTTTTATAACCCCCTTTCAAATAAAAAATTTAAAAAGAAAAAGCATCAACACATTTTTAAAAAAATGCTCTGAAGAAGCAGGGGAAACAGAAAGGCTGTGTGCAAACGATGTCAGTGCTAACTCTGTTCTTCTGATCTGTCTCTGCAATCCGTCAGCTTCTCTCTAATCAAGGCATGGGTAAGCATTATATAAAATAAAAGTGTGTTTTGTTATCCTGATCATGGTTGGTAGTTTGATGCTTGTTTATTTATTTATTTATTTTAATCCTCACCTGAGGATATTTTTCTATTTGTCTTCAGATTGAGTAGGAAAGAGGGAGAGAGAGAGAGAAACATCAATGGACCGGGGATGAAACGCAACCGAGGTACGTGCCCTTGGCTGGAATCAAACCCATGCTCATTGGTCCACGGGCGGACACTCTAACTGCTGAGCCAAACCGGCCAGGGCGATGCTTGTTTATTTTAAGGTGGTTCAGAAGGTCAGGTTGAAATGACGGTTGTTTATGAATTTAGTGATGGAAGAAATAAACTATAACATTCTTAGAAAGTAGATAAGGGCCAGATAAAACAATAACCGTAAGAATAATCGTTGTACACGTTATGGTCTAATGGTCTCTGGAGCGCTGTTTCTGCAGACTAGCTGCTGCAGGCTTGGACAGGGAGCCTTTGCCAGTGGAGGCCTTTATCAAGATGCATGTAAATGCCGTTTGCATCAGGCCTGGTGACTGCGTTAGCAAATTGTTAGAAACACATGTGGTTTCATCTTTGTTCAGCTACTGTCTGTATTTTGAACCCTGTCATTTCAGCATTTTAATTTCTGCATATATACTTTAGGGAAGAAAACCCCAAACTTTGTGGTTTATGTATATAGGGCAATTAATTTGAGGCCAACAGTAAATTGCTCTGGGTCAGTCACTACCAGGCTTGGCATGATAAAGGTATGTGTACTTTATTTTTTCTTCAGGTTGCAATACGTTCACTTTATTGATTGAAGTTTATCTTCATTGTTGAAGTATTACAGACGTCTTCCCATGCTTCCCCCCAGTGACCATAGACTTTTAAGATACACGGAATCTATCAGAATTGTTTCCTAAGTCAGTATATGCCTCAGTTTTCTCATTTGAACCTGTAGGACTAGTGGGCAAGGTTGCTTCAGTGTGCTAGAATAACCCAGGGCTCTAGGATAATAGGCTTCGTACTTCTCCCCAAACTGGAGTTGCTGACTAGGACTTCCCTAAGATGGCATAAAAGCTTCAAGCTTCTGTAGGCCACTGTAGACATGGCCAGGCCCCGGAAACCTACCCTGTTGTCATAGCAGTCAGGGTCGGCCCCTTCCGCACAGCAGGCTTCTGTCAGGGAGACAACCTCCTTCACAAGATGACTGATCTGTTCAAATGTTCCACTGGGAAATTTTCTGCTGTATAGGACCATTGATCTGAACGGACAAATAAAACCAGTACACTAATTAGAATTAATTTTGTGTCACATTTGCACATGTTAAAATATAAAATCTGTCCAGTTTGTTTTTGTTGTTGTTGTTAATCCTTACCTGGAGGATATCCCTCCACTAATTTTTAGAGTGGATGGGAGGGGGGGAGAGAGAGAGAGAGAGAGAGAGAGAGAGAGAGAGAGAGAGAAAGAAAGAGAGAGAGAAAGAGAAAGTGAGAGAGAGGAAGAGAGAAAGAAAGAAAGAGAGAGAGAAAGAAAGAGAAAGAAAGAAGAAAGAAAGAAAGAAAGAAAGAAAGAAAGAAAGGAAGGAAAGAAAGAAAGAAAGAAAGAAAGGAAGAAAGAAAGAAAGAAAGAAAGAGCAAGAAAGGAAGCAAGCAAGAAAGAAAGAGCAAGAAAGGAAGCAAGAAAGGAAGAAAGAAAGAAAGCGAGAGAAAGAAAGATTGGTGTGAGAGAGACACATCGATTGGTTGTCTCCCACACTACCCCAACGTGGGGCAGGGGATCAAACCTACAACCCAAGTACACACCCTTGACTGAGAATGGAACCTGGGTCCATGGACAGATGCTCTAACTGCTGAGCCAAACTGGCCGGGGCTGTCCAGTTTTTTTTTAAAGGAATAGTGCACGCATTTCTTGACGAATGAAGTTGCCTTTTAGTTTTTGTTTTAGGTAAATCGATCTTGTAGGGTAGAAGTTGGACTTGAGAGTTCTATCAGATGATACTCACGTTCTTTCGTTTCTCAGGCCTCCCCAGATGAACCTGTTCTGTACTTTATTGCCTTTGTTTGCCAGTCTAGCACGTACTGTTTTCATTTTTATTTACCTTAGAAAACTGCTTACTTATTCTCTTTTAACTCATTAAGAAACATACCAGTAACAAATTCTTTGACCATAGTAATGGTACTTCAACTGGAATCTTTGATGTTCTCCATTTGCCTGACTTCCTTGCCTATGTTGACCCTGGACTCCATCCTGTTTATCTTAGCAGAAATCAGGTCAGCCCTTTATACTGAATTTAAAGGACCTATGTGCAGTTTCATTCCAGGTCAAGTAACAAGAAGGTGAATGACTACTTCATACTTACAAAGATGCAAAGTCATCTTTTCCGAGATTGTTGATTTCCTTGCAGACTTTTTCCTTCTCATAATTTCGGCCTAAGAATGAAAAAACAGAAATTTTGTATATATTCTCTCTTTTTTTTTTTTTTTTTTGTACAGATAGAATGGGAGGTAGAGAGAGGAAGGGAGAGAGAAAGAGAAACATCGACGTGAAGGGACACATCGAGTGGCTGCCACCCGTACGACCAACCAGGGCCGGGGACAAACTGCAACCTAAGTACATGCCCTTAGCGGGAACCGAACCCGGGTCTCTCCGGACCGCAGGCCGACACTCTAACCGCTGAACCAAACTGGCCAGGGCTGTATATATTCTCTTTTAATGGATGTTGCATTAAATGCATATATATAAAGGGGTTCTTCACATGACTTATCTATGGTGAGACCAGCATTTTCTATATGCAATTCCATATTTTAGAGCCTTTCTAGTTGTTTTATAAAAATGTATCAGGCCCTGGCCGGTTTGGCTCAGCGGTTGGAGCATCGGCTTGCGGTCCAGAGAGACCCGGGTTTGGTTCCCACTACGGGTACGTACCTTGGTTGCAGTTTGTCCCCGGCCCTGGATGGGTCATGTGGGTGGCAACCACTCGACGTGTCCCTTTCACGTCAATGTTTCTCTCTCTCTCTTTCTCCCTCCCACTCTATCTGAACAAAATATCGAAAAATGTCCTCAGGTGAGGATAAAAAATAAAAAAGTAAAAAAAAAGTATCAGAATTGTATGGCATACTATAAATTTTGATGAACAGTAGGAAAAAAAGTGAACTAATACTGAAAAGAAATAAGTCAAATGATCTATGACAACTAGTGAGTCAGAACCTATTGATATGACAATCATTTTTTTTAGGTCCCATCTTTTTATTAATGCTAAAATGGGACATTTTGTCCCTTCCTTATTTATCTTGAATTCACCTAAGGCCTCAAAAGAAACAAGACCAAAAAACAAGTGGAGAGTACTTCTACATCCCAGAGTGAAGAGCTAGCCCCGCTAATGCAGGGCCTGAGAGGGAATGTGGGAGAGTATCTCTATCACCAACCTCCAGACTCTAAGGGAGGCTAGGAATTCAGCTGTGGAAAAAGATGAAAGTTAGGCAAAAAATAAATAAATAAATAAATAAATAAATAAATAAATAAATATATTTAAAGCTGGTGGTATGGTGGGTTTGGGTGAGTAGTAGGGAGTGCTTCTCCTCATTTCAAGTGTAGTCAAAGGGACTTCAAAGAAAACACTCAGGGACCTTGATAGGTGACCCTGGGGGTGTGGAGTTCAGTGGACAGGTGTCTGATTCAGACCAGAGAAAGCTAAAGGGTTAGGGGGCTGATTCGGTGGCCTGGGGCAACAAAGCAGAGGGCTGTGAGTGGGAAGCTGTGCTCTGGCTTGTGCACCTGATATAGATCAAACGGGAGCACACGGGCCTGGAGTGGTCTTAAATGCACCCCCACCAAAGGGCTACCTAGCGGGCGGTGGGCCTCCAACAGTGGGATGCCTCTGTGCAGAGGCAGGTGGTTTGAAAACCAGAGGGCCAAAGGGAAGTTTTAAAGTGCCAGCTGGATGTAAGAGGTCCCCAGGGACGATGAGAAAGAGATCTCCACCAACTCCAAAGAAGCCACAAAGACAATGTCAACGTTGGACATCTCCCATAAGCAGAGGAAACACCGCTAGGTCACTAAGCTGCCCACTGTGTTAGTTTTTCCTGCTGCTTACCTCTCCTGTATTTGAGGGGAAAAAAAAAAAAAAAACCAAAACAGCCCAAAGAATCAGAGGAAGGGGAAGAGGAGGGCAGCAGAGAAAAAGAGAGGAAGGTAGACCTGTCTCCCTTTCACACCATGGGCAACAGAACTGACACAGGCCTGATCTTGGGGAATAGCTTCACCTTTAAGCGAATTTACAAAATTTTGACTGTTGAGCATAAGAAGATATTCCCATGACTATTATGAGGTAGTTATTTTGAGGTTCAAGGGGACCAGAGGATCTTTTATTTGAGAGTGAGAAGAAAAATTGAAGAACCCATTCTTCAGTCTACTCAAGAGATTGGGAAGAGCTAGTTTGCTCAGGAGGAGATGAGCTTTCTATTGTTCGTGAGACCCACTTGTTCAACACGCCTTTTACATGCGCAGTGGGGTGGACACATGGAAGGTAGCCAGTGTTCTTCTTCCCCGATATCTCATTTATGCAAATAAGTCTAGAAAATTTTCCGACATTTTATGATGCTCTATCTTTCAAAAAAATGTAAAAAGTATACAAATGGCTCAGTTTCCATTCTGAGCTAAGTGGTTTTAACTTCTAGTGACTTATCATCCTGGCTTTAAATATTAGGAGATCCATCCCAGGCGATGACAATGGCTGTCAGTGCCCTTACTCCCCTAACAGTTACAGTTCTGTGGCTGCACATAGACGAGCGTAGAAATGTTTGTTTCATAGTGTGGAGTGAAGGATGGTGGTGGTTGGATACAGGCTAGAGAATTTTTTTTTCCTTCTTTTATAAAAGCTTCTCTGTCAGATTCGTTGGATTTACTGGTGACAACTCCCCGCAGAGGAAGCTGCTGTACCTTGTGTCTTTCAGATGGACACCTCAAAGTATACTGCTGAGATGAGACGAGGCAGAATTAAGGACAAAGACATTCCTAAGCAGCCCTTTGTAATAAGGGACCAACTCAAATACCATCCAACTCACGCAGAAGAGCCCCTATGTTGGAATTGCATGTTACCTTGGAAAGCAGGACAAACGCAGTAGGACTGATGAAGCTAACGGTCAGTGAGGAGCAAAAGTCACTTGCAGCCAAGCTCTGCTCTAGCTGAGAACCTGCAAATCTAGCACACTTCCTGGAATTTATTGACTAGTTCGCAAAGTTGGATATCGTCACAGTTTCAAAAGGTCAAAATAAGGCAGAAAATTTCCACTAATCATTAATGGTATTCTGTGGGACTGGGGGTTAGGGTACAGAGGGGAAGAATTTAAGGTAGAACTGTCCTCCCGTAATGAAGAGCTGTAACCTCAGGATGTCTACAGGGTGGGTTTCTGTTGCTCTGAAGGTAGAACCAGAAAAAGTGGCTGGCAGGAGATTTTGGTTCAATGGGAGAAATTGATGTCACCATGACTAAATGCTAACTGAAATGGTGAACAGCTTCTTGGAGAAGTGAGTTTGTTTTGTCAGTGGAAATATTCAAATGGAGCTTAAGTAACCATGTATATGAAAGATTTCCAACCTTAGTACAAGCTTGTATCCTCTTGATGTTTAAGATTACTTCTGAGGGGTTACAAAATGATCCCTTTTAGAAGTAGTAAGAAATTATATAGAAGCCTTTTGGCCCCCAAATCTTACTGTTTACAAAACAATAGCTCTCTCTCTTTATAATGCATAGGAGAAAACTGCAGAGATTGTTTCTGTTAATACTTTTTATTGTGACTACTCAATAACATCCAAAGGGAGAGCCTATATTCAAATGTCACCTCTGATGAACATTTTCGGAAATAATTTGTTTCTAGTCTTTCAGATTCAGATTTCTGACTACAGATAAGAGTAGTTTTTGTTCAGCGTGTTTCAGGAATGTGTGAGTACATGTGAATATGGTGTAAATGGCCACTACAGATTATCCCTTGTTAAAGAGCTTTAATGAAATCAACCACTTGTGTTTGCACCGAAGTCCATTAGAACCCACAGACGTTATGAAGTGCGTTAGCTAGACTGCAAAATTCTTAGGGAAACATGGAGAACTGGATTGATTACAGAAGACTTTTAAACCATATATTTTTTTTTTTGCTGGAACATTCAGCCTTGGGCATGACAGAAGCAAGGAGGAAGCCCAAAAGGGAGGCATTGAGAAATAAAATAAAAAGGGTGAAACTGCTCTTACAAGACCAGCCTGCAGAGGCCGCTGTCGCACCATGCATCTTCCAGGTGGACGAAGGGAAATAGGTTTCTGATTTTACAAATCGCCTTCATTCATTTATCCAAAGTGAATATACACAACTTAAGGCTAGGCAAATACGTTAATCATTTTATCATCTTCTGAAAAACAACAAATACATACTGAAGTTAATTTGCAGTGTGATTATTACAAACTGATTTCTGTATTGCTTAATAAATACATATTTTTTTCATTCCTGTTGAGTCTACTTTGATTCATATAATTAAATGACATACTCTGTTCTTTAAATGCCACATGGTTATAAAGAGGGCCGTCTGGACTTAGACATGGCCCCAGCAAATATTGGCATGATCTTTGTGACACTGGTGACATCTTTTTCACACAGTTACCTCTCAGCACTGTTTACAGATTATATTAACAGAAATTTTACTTTTTGCAACAGCATGTCTCTTTCTATCTGTATTGTGAAACTCTCTGGTAAGTTGTATCTAATTCTGGATTTAAAAAAATAAATTAGATTTGCTTAGGGAAAGTCTCTAGTGCTCCATGTAACTCACCTCTCAACACAGCTGACAATATACATTGATGCATGTGACGCACATGCCTAAAAGATTTCCTCTGTGCCGGGCACTGGCTTCAGTATTGAATATACAAACAGAGAGGAAAATAGACATATCCTTGCCCTCATGGAACTTCTGATCTGTTGGGGATAGATAATAAGATACTCACTATCCTGGTACAAACTTTACTTTAAAAAGGTATTTTGAATGCCTTAACTATTATTGTTTTAATCTGTCTCTAATACCAGCTTGCTCCCCTAGAGAAACTGTTTGTCCACCAGGAGCAGTGGATGGACCCTAAATAACACTGACTTGAATACATGCTTATGCAGAGAGCTAGGAATTGTCTTAGGTTGCTGTTTTACAATTTTGTTCTGAAGAATCATGGGGTTTCGGAGCTTGTTGGACATTTTTATATTTTTGCAGTTTCATTTCTTTGACCTTTTTATTTCTCTTATACACTGACAGGCTCATCTGTGCCAGAAAAACTCAGTATATTTGTTTTTACTTTTTGGGGAAAAGCTTTATTCTAAGAATGTGGTTTGCAGTGCTTATTCAGTCAGACTAGATATTGGTGATTTCAGAGTAATGGTTTTATTTGAAAAATTAA